TTTTTTTTTTTTTTTTTTTTTTTTTTTTTTTTTTTTTTTTTTTTTTTTTTTTTTTTTTTTTTTAAGGACAAAAAGTTGACTAAAAAAGAAGAGAAGATGGGAGAGGAGGAAGCAACCACATGGGTTTCCTCACATTCCCTCCTTCAAAACAAATCACTTTTTCTCTTTTTTTTTTTTTCCTTAATTTTTTAAATAATTAAAAAAACCACCCATTAAAATTAATTACAATTATTCTATTTTAATTAAAAAAAATATTTTGGACTAATCCAAAATTTTAAGTTTGTTGGGTCAATGACGGAGGAATTGAATATAATTCTTTTAAAAAATTTTACATTAATGATTAAAATTTCATACCATTTCCTGTCAAATATTTTTTATTTTTATAATAATCTTAAAAATATGGTAGAGTTCAGTTAGTTGAGTTGTAACCTATTTTATGGTTGATTTGGTTGACTCGATAAAAACAAAATTGACTCGAATTTGTTATTTTCTAAAATAACCTTATTTTTATATTTAAAAAGCTATATTTTATATGGTTATTGGTATTTGTCGTAACAACATTTAATAGCAATAAACATGGTAAATTTCAATATTATTACAACATTTAATAGGAAAGTTAATCACGATATGGTAATTTTCATTATTGTTACCATATTTAGCAGGAATGTTAACCACTAATAATCAAACATGGTAAATTTTGATATGAATTTATGACCTAAATTATCCTAACTAATTATTTAATTCAAATAATTATTAACCATTTCTAATCACGAAATCCTATCTCTAAGAACTTAGCCCTGGAATTTACATAAGTGTGAAAAGGTTCTACCTTCCATTTAATAAATATCAACCGTATTTAAAGAATACAATTACAAGATAAAAATAGATTTTTAACATAATTGTAAATATGAACCATTTGGAAATGAGTATTTATCGGTAATGACTATAGCTATGGTCACAATTTGTTCTATAATATATAAAATATTGACTAATAAATAAAAATTAATTAATTAATTAATTTGGTATAATTTAAAGTTAAATTTTAAAATATTGAAATTAATGTTCAATAATTAAATTTTAGATATAATATAGAATGAAAAAAAGATCATATTTATTCTAATATGTAAAGTATTTACAAGAAAAAAAGAAAATTTTATAGCTCACTCATTTTAAATTATACTTTTTTTTTTTTTTTTTGCCTTCTAATTTGATTTGCTAGCAATCGCTATACACTGACGAATCAATTTCCGACGAACATATTTTCTTCAAAATAACGGAATTAATTTCACGTAAATTACCATAATTACTCCTCCGTAAAATTGTCGTCTTTTCAGGCGCCGACAACGAACCGACGGAGACCGATTCAACTCCGGCGAGCGAACTCGCATCGGGAATCGACTCAGTCGCCATGATCACCTTCACATTCTTCAACAAAAACTCACTGTTAACGAGGTGACTCAGTACTGCCGAGTCGGACACCGAGTTCTTCTTGTGCTGCATCAGAGCTCTGGCGATATCCACAACCATAGCGTTTGACAGCCGCCGGACTGCCCGTGCTCCGCCGATCACGACGGCCGGATTCACCAGATTGTGCGACTTTTCTGAGTTCTTTTTTGTGTGTTTGTTTGTGAAAAGAATCACCGACTCGGTTCCTTTGTTTCTTATTCGGCCGAGTGGATCGCCGATTAGAACCGAGTTTTTGGCGTCGACGAGCATTACATGCTTGAAATTCCGGCGGACTCGTCCAAGTAGCATCGGATAACACGCCCACCGCCGTAGACTCATTGTAATGTGATCTGAGAAGCCGGAAAGCGAATTCTCTGGATCGATCTCCGCCGCGTCGAAACTCACCACCGAGCCGTAACTCAACCGAGTCAACTCGTTCTCGCCGCCGCCAGAATCGTTAGTGAACCGTTTCCTTTTCTTTCCCCAAATCGGCCCCTCCGGTTCTTTCTTCTCTTTGATCTTAACAAACTGATTCACATCAAATCCCCCCACCGCTCTCCGGCTCGCCGTGATATTCGAATTCCGGGATCGGTGAAGGAGTTTAAGAAACGATTCGTTTTCCTCTCGAATAATCGGACCGAATTTCTCCGAGAACGCCAGTGAGGCGAAGATGAAGACGGAGTCGGATTTAGCGGTAACACCGGACCGATGGAACAGTCGGAGAAAGAGGCGGAAGTCGTCTTCTCTGACGTCTTCCGGTACATGAACAACCGTGAGGTCCGCCATGGCTCGAGTACCTCGCAAATACAGAGTCCCCATACGTTGCAGCGCCGCCATAGAACCGGTCATCGTATTCACCATGGCCGGTTTCTGCTTCCACATTTTGCGAAACCAATTCCAGCGATTCACCGACGGCGTACGGATTTCAATCGGCGTGGATTTCCGGGAGAGGAGCCTTCGTGGAGGTGTGAGGTTCATTTTAATGGCGGGTTCGAAAGTGGAGAGAGTGAAGAGAAGAAGAGAAACAAAGACGAGCAGAGCACAGACGGAAATGGTGGACTGAGCTTTAGAGAGAAGATTGTAATTACTCCGACGACCTGAAGAAGAAGAAGAAGAAGAAGAAGATGGAAAGAGCTTATTGTGGTCGGCAATGGCGGAAGGGGAATCTTCAGAGAAAAAGACGAGAAAAAGGCCCATTCCCCAATTCTCGACGGCGGTGGATTTGGATTTTCCGGTGAGCAAGAGGCCCATTTCAATGGCGGACTTGGAATCGGAATTTCGGGGATTTTTAATGTAAGGATTTAATTATTAATTTATTCCACAAGAGAGTGACTGTCTCTTGTGGAATGCTGCTCCATTTTTCCATTTATTGTCGCTTTCAATTTTTTTTTTAATTATTATTTTAAAATTATTTTTCCTTTTTTTTTATTATTATTTAATTTTTTAAAATAATAAAATAAATTTTGATTATAAAACGTGGAGGAGAGAGAGTAAATAACTTCAGCTTTGAGTTTTGATTCCCCACGGAAGTTTCTGTTTTTTTATTAATAAATAATTGTATTTATTTCCTATTAATTTTCTTTACTCTTATGCTAGTTTATATAAATTTTATATTTTATTCCAAAACCACCTTAAAAAATTTTCAAATACCATTCAATTTTTTTAAATTTTAATTATATTTTTAAAAAAAAACATAAAATTTAAAAGCATTTTTACTCATTTAACCACATATATATAATTAATTAATTAATCAATTAATTAATGCTTTTAAAATTTAGTTAATTTTAGATTCTGTTTTTTTTAATGAATTTTGTTGCTAATTTTTTTAGAAATTTAGTCTGAGTTATTCCATGTTTAACGTGTCATTAAAATTAAAAGAGTAGGTTACTTTATTAATTTAGTCCACACTTTTAATAACTACGTTTTGTTTAAACTCTAAATCAACTGGTTCGTAATTAAAATGTAGCTGATTATAAAAATATAAATAAATAAGAAATCTAAACCACTCTAATAGTCTTAAAGATAGGATTGAATTGAATAATCTAAATTATAAAAATATAAATGAAACATAAGCTCAGTCTCATATCAATGGAGATAGTATTCATCACTTATAAACACATGATCATTACCTAAATTAACCAAGGTGGAATTCACTCCCAATAATCCTCAATAGAATATCTAACCGAGTCACTTTTACAACACTTTTTTCGGTCGTGATTATTTGAAGTTTTTTGGGTCGAATTTTCAATCATTTTAGCTAATATTTGGACCAATTTCAAAAGGCCCAGGCGGGCAAGAGCCCATTCAAAATAACCTCCGCCCCGATCTTGTACTTCCCTGCCGCTCCGCCGTAGCCGGTGCTACACTTGCCGGAGTCATCATCGGTGGGCTACTACTCGATGGAAATATCGACTGCGTCTCCACCGGAGTTCTGGTACTGGTGTAGCTCCGATAAGAGTAACCACCAAGATGCATCGGAAAGGCGGCGGAGACGGCCGGGAAGAACCCGGAGAAACTTTACTCACCACTGGATTCGCCGCCAACTAAGAAACAGCAGAAGGTCGACAATGACGGAGACGACATAATTAACACAACATAATTACCTAATGTGTTTGGTGGCTAATTGTCGAATCGAATTACACGAATTAATTACCACAAAATTATTTTATTAGCACATTTATCATGAACAAAAATATGTATTGCAGGTGTGATGCACAACAAATATGAAATTTCACAAAATCAATTAGATGCATACTTATCTAACAATCTCGTTTCCGACCCCATTTATATTAAACGGGCTAGAGTGGTAATAGAGATGGGGAATACAATTTCGTCTCCGACTCCCTGTTTGGAACTAGTCCTTCGAATACTCCTATTTTACTTGTGTAGCTTGAAATCTACAAATTCAGTTCACATAATTGAAAAGTATTTACAACTACATTTTGAATGCTTGATAATGACGTCGAACATGAATTTTGACAACTTTAGCCCGTTACGTATCGCTGTTAGCCTCACGATTTTAAAACATGTCTATTAGGGAAGTATTTTCATACCCTTGTAAGAAATGATTAGTTTCCTTCTCCAACCAATGTGGGATCTCACAAATGCTCACATAGATTTTGACAACAAACTCTAGCTATGAAAGCTAGTAGAAGGTAGTCACAGTTAATGACTTTCCTTTCCTCTATAGATATGTTCCAAAAAAGAAGACTATTTGAGAGGGAACTCGATGATATACTTTAATTGAGAGAAAAATTGATGGAAACATCATTGAAGTTCCATATTAGCTAGATTAGCTGAAGATCATGCATATATCAAGGACGGAAGACGGAAACATAGGTGTGAGAAAATGTTTAATTATTCATAATTTCTCGTTTAAAAATTTCGGGGATGAGAACGAGTCATTCCCATGCTTTTGTGTATACCCGGGAAGAAAGGGAATTAATTCGGGTTTTTTCATGGCTTCCTCTTTTCATATATTTTTTTATTATTTAATTAAATAAATGTTGTTAATTTAAATTAATTTGTATAATTGACCCTACTATATTAGAGATTACACAATTTGTGACGTTATTTTAGATTAAAATTATTGTTAGTATCTATTTAATTATTTTATTAATTATTACCGTCTATTGATATCAATAAAATTAACATTAAAAAATACGAAGATATTCATAAATAGACAGGAAATGATGTGTTTTTTAAATAGAGTAAATATGAGGCATTAATAAAACTTTAATATTGTTTTTTTTAATAAATAATTTAGCCTAAATTTTGATACTAATTTATTGTAAATTAGGGGAGGAAGTTTCGGATAAAACGTAGGGCGCGTGTGTCGCACTCTCCAACGAAAAAAAACATAGAGGCTGAAGAGAAAGCTCTCTTCGGCTTTCCCGTAGGCCGTATCGCTTTTAACTCTCGAGTGTCTGGTTTGTATGGTCTCAAACTCAAATGGCTGCCTCTCTCAAGATAGGAATCGGCTCCTCCGTTTCCTCCCACCATTTCTCCGCCATGCCCGCCCTCTCCAATGCCCTTCCGCCTCATCGCCTCCTCCTCCTCCTCTCTCCTTCCCCCTCCCGTCGCTGCTCCCTCGCTTTCCGCTCCTCTCGCACTCCTCCTCGCCGTCTTCTTCTTCGCCTTCGCGCCTCCTCCGATGACGACATCTCTCCTTCTCCAGGTCACTTCCATTTTTGTTTTTTCTCCGCGGATGTATTTTGTTATTTTTTGTTCTGTGTTTGTAAGTGTGTGTTTTCGTCCTTTGGATTGGATGCGTTTGGCGCGGGAAAGCTCTGTGACGCTTATCTGGATTTTTCGCCTTTTTTAGGAGAATTGATATAAGAAGCTTTTAATTTATTGAGTTTGATTTTGTGTGTTTCAATGTGGAATCCGTGGTTTCCGTTTTCCGCGTGACTTGATTTTCTACTTTCCTGATGTTTGGATATATAATCAATGCGCATATTTTTATTAGCCTAATAATTGGTCTTTCCTGTGAAACATCTGGCACTCAATTTATTTATTTCTGCTCGTGCCTGTGTTTGTAAGTGCGTGATTTCATCTTTTGGATGTTCTGCGAGTATTGTATTTTTGTAATATCTGTCTAAATTTTCCATCATTTTGAAGAGAAATTAGTTAAAGTTAGAGGTTCTTTTATTACTCGAATTTTGATGTATATCTTTTCGATTATCCACGTGACTCTACTACACTTACATTTCCTAGTTTCCTGATGTTTGAATATATAATCAGTGCGCATGTTTTTTTTTTGTTTAAGTGGACTCATTGGTCTTTCTTGACATGGTTTCAAACTGATAATAGACATTTCTCCCTTTGCACCTCAGTGATCAATATATCCTCATGTTTGTAGGAAAATATGTAGGCTGATGTATGTAACTTTGTTGTTGAGTAGTTGGATAAGTTCTTTCCAGCCGAAACAAGTAGTTGTTTCAGACATAGTAGTGCCCATTATTTTATTCATCCTAGCGTTTGTAGTAGAGGTGCTCACGAACTGGTTCTGACACTCACTGATATCAATATTATTTTATTCATCCCAACATTTGGTTTACCTTTCCTCGCCGTAGTTGTAGCGTAGACATCGTGGTTATAATTTGTTTTGTTGGCATATAAACTTAATAACCATCATATGTTATTGCAATTATATATACTTTTTGGGTTGAAATTGTATTGGTCGACTTCATTCATTTTACATGAGATAATTACTTCAATAGATTGAAAAGAATTGGTTTCTAATTGGAAATGTTAGATATGAAGTTTGTTGTATGTGTGTGTCTGAAGTTGGAATTTTGAGGTGTACTTCGCATAAGATCATGAGAGTGATCATGTGTTCTTTATAACAGGAGTCGAGAATCTAGTAATTATAGGTTCTGGTCCTGCTGGATTTACTGCAGCCATATATGCGGCGCGGGCAAATTTAAAGCCTGTAGTGTTCGAGGGTTTTCAAGCAGGTGGTGTTCCGGGAGGACAGTTAATGACTACCACAGAAGTGGAAAATTTTCCTGGGTTTCCTGATGGAATTACTGGTCCAGATCTGATGGATAGGTAAAGTAATATAAAGTATGTTCTTTGGTTTTTCTTGCTTTCTATCACAACGGAAGAGACATTGGTTAGGGATCCATGGGCAGATTGTTTCGGTTGTAATCTTCATATTATAATTGGATAGGATGCGGAAGCAGGCGGAACGGTGGGGAGCTGAATTATTTCAAGAAGACGTGGAGTCTATTGATTTAAACAATAGACCTTTTACTGTGCAAAGTAGTGAACGCAAGGTGATGAATTATTTTCTATCAAAATGTATGGAGAAACTATGAATTCTTGACTTCCTCTTTTAAGAACTTTTATGTTTATCTAGTATCATCAATTCATTCTTTGTGTACTACTACTTTTCCCTAATATTTTATTTTTGTTATCACTTATCTAAGCATTGAGAATAATTTGGACTTTAGATTTTTCCTTGTTTCAATTCATTTCGTTAATTATTTTGTATTTATGCCTATAAGCTATTCAATTCATCTGTCTTGGTGTTTAAAAAGTACATGGCGCTTCTTTTCTTTCTAATTTTCTTTGGCCTTTTCTCCTTATAAATTTCAGGTCAAGTGCCATAGCGTAATATATGCGACAGGAGCAACAGCAAAGCGACTTAGGTTACCTCGTGAAGATGAATTTTGGAGTAGGGGAATTAGTGCTTGCGCAATTTGTGATGGAGCATCACCCTTGTTTAAGGGTCAAGTTCTTGCTGTTGTAGGAGGAGGTGATACAGCAACAGAGGAAGCCTTATACCTGACTAAATATGCTCGTCATGTTCATTTACTTGTACGTAAGGATCAACTTAGGGCTTCTAAAGCAATGCAGGATAGGTATGTTAGTCAGTTCAATATTTTGGCAAAGAGTCACTTTTATTTTATAGTAGTTGGTTTGATATCTTATAAATACTATGTACTTTTAGGGTAAGGAATTCTTATCTTTCAACCTTTGCTCGCTCGTTTTTTATTTTATATGTTTAGAAATGCAATAATGTGATTCTTGGAAAGAAAAACCAAAATTTTCATGTGGAAGCTATTAGGGAACCTGGGCCCCCTTATTTCTACTTTATGCTTGTAGATTGTATTGGCTGCTTACGTTGAAATTTGAATTATCCTAACAGGCTTATGTATCCGGTATAATGTTATATCCTTATAATAAATATTTGTGGTTGCTTTAAAAATTAAGAAACGTGATAACTTATTCGGAGGACAATGATGTGTCTTGTTATTTGCTCAACTGGTTTGTATTGACTGGGTCTTTTATTACTTCTTTATGTTCATTTTTTTGATAAATTCGGTTTGATCAATTTTACATTTTAAATTATCAAGTGCGTATGGAAACAATATATCATGTACCTTAGAATAGGTGACTTGTTGTTATGGGAAGTCCTACGGCTTATCAAGTGAATTGGATAAGCAAGAAGAAAATCAAAACTTTAATATAGCAATAGTGTAGAGCCTTTGGAGGATAATGGAAGACTTGAAAACTCGTGGGCTGGGTGACTTTTTGAGTGTCTTTGGAACGTAACTTTGCTCTTCACAGTTGTTAACAATAATTTCATGATTTTTCAAGCCCATCTTTCCTTATAAATTGACCTTATAGCAGTCTTGCCTTACACTTGGTATATACAGCCTTTTATGTTGACTCCCAGCTATCTCTAGGTTTACAAATAAACAATTTGTATGTGAGTTTTCAACCCCTTGAATGTTTGTTTAACAGGTTGATTATCGCGAATGTTTCAGAGTGTTCAATTGCCCAAATATTACCTTGCACTTTAACACGGAGGCTGTGGACATTGTTAGCAATACAAAAGGGCAAATGACTGGCATTTTAGTTCGAAAGGATGATACTGGGGAAGAGTCTGTGCTGGAGGCAAAGGGTTTATTTTATGGAATAGGTCATTCACCAAACAGCCAGTTATTGAAAGGCCAGGTTGAGCTTGATAGCTCTGGGTATGTGTTGGTGGAGGATGGTACTGCAAAAACTTCTCTGGAAGGTGTATTTGCAGCTGGAGATGTGCAGGTATTTTCCTCCTGAAAGTGCATTGTTGATTATTGCTATAGCTTACAAGAGCTGGTTCGTTTGACTCTTGTTTGCATCAGAATTGTCTTCAAAGTAAAAGTTTAATTTTTGTTTGAACTAGAAATGAACTATTCATTGATAAATTAAAAGAAACTATACAAGTTTAATAATTAATTTAACCTTTTATTAAATAGAATTTATTCTTTTCAGTTTTGAGATCCACTTATACTTTTGCTTTCATTAACTATTGATTGTTTTTTTTTATGATCATTTAGGCAATAAAACGATATGACTAATAATGACATGGAATTTTGGTAAAAAATGATTGTGGCCACTTTTCTAATGTTTCCAGGGCAACCCATAACTTGTCCAGGTAGTAGACTGCGTGCTCTTGGAACATATTAGTTCCAGGATCTTTTCATCTTAATGTATTGTGGTGAGCGACGGCCTTTGATGTTTGAAAATCAACTAAATAGGATTAACATTTTTTTGAAGAACTATGTTGTCAACTTGAGCATGTCCACAAGGTGTGAATCTGTGATGTGACATAGAGGCACAAAAATGGTTCCCTAGTCAAATTTATTATACAATTTCTATCCATCTTCTTGGAAAACCATGAGATTGATATTACCTATATCATCTTTTGATTTTGTTTCTTCTTAATTTCTAAGGATCATGAATGGAGGCAAGCTATCACAGCTGCTGGATCTGGATGCATTGCTGCTTTATCTGTTGAGCGCTATCTTGTGAGCAAGAATCTTCTTATTGAGTTCCACCAGGTATCAAAACCCTGTTGAAGTTGGTTGGTCGACTGGTTTCTTCTCAGACAGTTGGCATATGTCACATATTCCAATTACTGGTTGTTTTTGGTGCAAGAATTACTGAATTGTGTTAAAAGAGACTTCTGCACTTTTATTTTGTTTTTGATTGATTAAAGTCCAACCTCCGATGTTTTCACCATTTTCAACCATAGCTTTGTGTAACAAGTGACAAGGTCGCTTATGCATATTGGGAATTTGTTTTGTGCAGCAGGTTTATCACAAGTAGTTCATTGATGCTAACATGATCATTCTTGTATTTGCTTTTCCAGCCCCAAACTGAAGAGGTTAAGAAGGAACCAATTGACAGGGATGTTCAGGAGGGTTTTGATATCACCCTTACAAAGCATAAAGGCCAGGTATGTATTTTTCTCGTCTGTTTCGGTAATTATGTTACAATGTTTTACATAATGTCTTCTTCTTCTACGGTTGTGGCTTTCAAAATATTTTTTGTTATTCACTCAAATTTTACTATCTTTTACCTTTCTGTTTCTACAGTATGCTCTTCGGAAACTATACCATGAAAGCCCCAGGCTTATATGTGTACTTTATACGGCTCCAACGTGTGGTCCGTGTAGGACACTGAAGCCACTTCTTAGCAAGGTAGAAAATGTGAAGTTATTCGTTGGACTGAATGTAGGGTTAATCCATCCAGTCCGCATGTATTATCTGTTTTGACATGCTTGATGATAAACTCCACTGTTATCTGTTTTATTTTTCTGATGATGTTGATGACCAATCATTGATGCTTATTAGGCTTCATTAATGTTATCTTCCAGGTGATTGATGAATTTGATGAAAGTGTCCATTTTGTCGAAATTGATATTGAGGAAGACCAAGAAATAGCAGAAGCAGCTGGGATTATGGGTACTCCATGCGTGCAGTTCTTCAAGAATAAGGAGATGGTCAGGTATATTTTGCATCTTATTTTAGATCATATTTGATGCATGAATAAACCCATTGAATGATATGATCTTTACATGTGGATTTACATTTCCTTTCTCATGATCGTTTCTGACTCTCACATGAAATCATATTTGTTGTCCCTTCAAGATTTCAAGATTTCAAGATTTTAGGACTGGTTTGGAATTACCTTTCAACTTGGAAGTGTTTATGAAGAGGCATGTGTAATTTATAAAAACAAAATCATTATCAAACAAGCCTTAAATTATTTGAAAACAGTGCTCCTCTTTATTCTTTTAATAACATTCGTTGAGATCCCACATCAGTTGGAGAGGAGATGAAACATTCTCTGTAAGGATGTGGAAAACTTTCCCTAGCAGATGTGTCTTAAAACCTTGAAGGGAAGCGTAGAAGGAAAAGTCCAAAGATGACAATATTTGCTAGCGATGCGCCATTACACTAAGTGAGGGTTGAAGCAGTTGTAACATAAGAGAGATAACTCCTATACCCCTATACCACTTTTAAACAGGGGAAATCCTCATCATATGGAGTGTTTGGCATGGATAATTTTCAGATGTATTTCTCACCAATATTCTATTATTGATTCTTATGTAGGAATGTATCTGGAGTCAAAATGAAGAGCGAGTATAGAGAATTCATCGAGTCAAACAAATGAGGTGGTGAAGCTATTGCCCTTGATCTTCTGCCTTCAATTTTGTTTCATTTGTTCTAATAAGATATAGCCAAGTGGAAAAATGCTTAAATTTTTTTCATGTTCTGTAACATTCATATTTATATTTATACTGTATATTTTAGATACAGAGCTGAGAAAAAGGGCAAAAAAAAAAAAAAAAAAAAAGGTTCGAATAAGGTTCGATTCCTTCAATAATACATCAGCCAATTCATTCTTGTTTTAGGTCTATTGATGATAATTACTGTGAGAACTGAAAATAAAACGCACAGGTTCAAATCCATAACTATTGTTCAAGTCTTTTTCTTAATGCACGCTGTTTACTAAACTACTAGTGGTAATCCCATAGCTTTTGTTGATTTAGCTGAACAAAGCTCTGTCCATTTGGAATTGCTTTATTGGAGATTCTTAACTTTGGTGGATTGTTTAGGTTTTTTTTTTTTTTTTTTGAAATTCGTAACTCTTATTGGTCTATCGGTTAAAGATTTATTTTGTTTAAGATGCTTAGAAATAAGATGAGTGATTCGTATCACTAATTTCCATCATCAAAATGAGAAATATATAAAACCCTGCTGATCATGGTTTTAACTTACACAACCTACGTTACAAAATTTGAGAATGAAATTTACATTTTACCCTAAAAATAATATCACTACGATAAAGCCACTTCAACTGAAGACGAGGAACATTATTTTCCTAAGGAAAAATTTAATGATGATTAGTTATGAGAGGGACATCGTCAAGGATGAATGGACCAAGCTTACCAGCCCTGAATAGAGTAAGTAGTTTCTTTGACACTTTCAGACGAGCTTCCGCTGCCTTGTGAGGTATCTTCATTGCTTTCTGCAATGCTTCAAACTGCAGTTCGATGAGACTTTCTAAGTCATTCTCATCTTCTACATTGCCATCAAATCCAGACAACATTGCGTAGAGTGCACGTTGAACTTGTGTAACTAGATCCTGATCAAATGAATCAGAGAAAAAGAACACAGTTATCCTTTTAGATTTATACACCGCTTTCATGGAGAGGAATGAAAGTCAAACAAAGGTGGGGTTATACAAAAACCACACAATAATTAACGTCTTTCTCTGTTTTTAGCACAGAAAGCCATAAACACTCTTAAGAGTCTAATAAGAAATCCTTCCCTTACCTCGACGTATACCACATCAGATTTATTTGGAAGAGGAGGCCTCCTTTTTGGTCGGAGGTCATTAAGACTAAATCTGTGCATTTCCTCTGCTTCATATTGAATACCCTCCGTTCTTCTGTTATTCGATTGTTTCCAATGGAAGGGAGTCCCCCGAGTATTCAAAACTGCCAGTAGATATTGAGCAATACGCTCCTCGCCCACCACGGAATCCTTCACAGATCCTGCTTCCAAGTGAAAAAATTACAGCGTTAGCTTTACAAGTGAATGCAGAAGTACTGTCAGTATCTATGTTATCGTGAAATATTAAAAATGAAGAGGAAACTAAGTGTGAGATCCCACGTAGGTTGGAGAGGGGAACAAAACATTCCTTATAAAGTGTGAAAACCTCTTCCTGACAGACGCGTTTCTGCAGTGGGCTTGTGCTGTTATACTAAGTCATATAATTTCTAATGAATTAAACTCAATTGGGGGTGTGATCCCGCTATACTTGTGAGATGGGCTCAGTTGGTAGGGGATGGGCACTCCATGTTCTTCAAATTCTCTACACTCAAATTTATAGTAATTAAGAAGTTTCAGTCCCTTAAACTGCACAATCAATATTCTACATCCTTGCATCATTCTAGTATATTACATCCCAGTGCACTATAGCTGTACAAAAAGCTTCTGACAAATCAAAAAAAGTTCTTACAAACTGAAATACAACCTGCAAGTGACAGTTTCAGCCCCGTCTCCACGTCTTTAATACTTGGAACTAAAACACCAGGAGTATCTAGAACATATATGCTAGGTTGATGAGCAATCTGCATATCGAAGAAGCGCAAATGGTTAAGAACTCATCATTATATGAAGACATGTGGTTGATCAAAACTACCTTGAAGCCAGCAATATCTTGAGTAACCCCAGGCAAGGGACCAACATTAGCTCGCTTCATTTTCTCCTGCACTATGAAAAAGTATTGAAACCACAAAAGTCGAAAAAACAAGGCCTCTAAACCAAACGCATCCATATTTGTACCCTTCTGAATAAAGAGAAATTGGCGTAATGTTCCAAGAAACAGCCTTACCAGGAAAGCGTGCAGAAGCTATTTGATGGATTGAATTAATTAAAGCCGACTTCCCAACATTTGGAACACCAATGACCATCACAAGAAGAGTAGGTTCCCTTGAAATCGCTTCCTTTAGTTTAAATTCCACAAGCTCGAGAAGCTTTTTCATCAATTAAGAAAAGTACAGACATCTTTTTATCAGAAAAACCAAATAAATAAGCAATCGAAATACACTAAATCAAACAAATTAGCTATTGAAATACACTAAAACAAATAAAAATAAAGTTACTTGCCAGTACATGTCAAAAGTTATATCAGCATTCAATTTTGAATTTGAATTAGAACATAACAAATGAAGAAAAAATCTGAATTTAGTATAAACAAATGGTAAATGAACAGTCTTCAACACCACCCACTAGAACCTTGTCAAACTCAATATACCACAGGAAATTAATATCAACGCATATCAATGTACCACCAATAATTTCAGCAAATCAATATACCACAGGAAATCAGTAGCTAGAACCACAAGATTAATTGCAAGCTGAAAATTAATAATAACGCAATACTGTAGCAAATAAAAATACCTTCCGAACAGAGCTCTTGCTGTGAGCGTTAATTGGAATGCAATCTTGATTGCATGACTCAAAAAAGTGCGTCCATTTCTGCACAATTAAAATCGTAATGAAAACAACACGAACATGTGACAACTATGGACGAAAAATGATCGATGAATGACTAAAAAGAACATGACAAATAACTAACTCTTAGAAATTTGATACACACGAACATTTAAACCGCAAATTCTAAGAAAGGAAAGGACCAACAGAGTTACAGTGAGCAGCTCATTTTAAAGAACAAATAGCGTTTGAAATTGATCTTAGTAGTGAAGGAAACAGTTCTATTGTAGATCAACAAGAAGATAAAAGATAATTGAGAAGGCATCATACAAATATGAAAACCATTGTCCGTTGTCAATCCATTTATGAACTCAGAGATCATGAAATGGTGTCTTACATGCATGATATTAGGGTTAGCCAAATCCTTCTTGTTGAGGGCAATGATGCGGCGTTTAGAAGAGAGATGAGACTGAAGGTCTTGGTTGGCCGAGGACAGGGGAATTCGGGAGTCTCTGACCTCGATCACCATATCCGCGAGCTTGACTCTGTCGCGAATGGCACGCGTAGCTGCGGCCATGTGGCCGGGGAACCAATTGATGGCTCCACCGGCCGCAGTGAATTCCATCTCTCCTAAAGCCTTCTTCACCACTCCAGTGATCCCTTTCATTCTCTCTCTCTCCAACAACGAAGACGGAGGTTTAGGGTTTAAGGTGGCCATTTTTTACGTGGCCGAGAGCATACTGTTTTGGGCTTGGACAATATTTATACATTGGGCTTTTTCCTTCGGCCCATTATAAAAACTAGGCTCATGAAAATCAAAATGTGGGCTTCTGGACCATTCGGCCCATTTTTACGTGGCCCAGAGAGCTTCGGTTTTGGGCTTGGACAATATTTATACTTTGGGCATTTTCTTTTCGGCCCATTATAGAAACTGGGCTCCCAAAATTTAAATGTGGGCTTATGGACCTTTTTGGGCCATATTACTTGGCCCAGAGCGCTCCTGTTTTGGGCTTGGGCAATATTTATACATTGGGCTTTTTCCTATTGGCCCATTAGAGAGACTGGGCTCCTGAAAATTAAAATATGGGCTTCTAGACTATTTTGGGCCATTTTTTACGTGGCCGCGATCGCTTCGGTTTTGAGCTTGGATAATATTGGATAATGTTTAAACTTTGGGCTTTTTCTTTTCGAATGATATATATTTTTTATTTTTAAAGAAAGGCTAAAATAATAAAGTATATTCAGGAAAATATCCTTATTTTTACATTTTCCCTAACAATACCATTATTTAAACATCCTGACGGTTAATATAGGTATCAATTTTGGATGGTTAGAGATTAAGTTCCTAGATTTCCAAAAGGCCTCAAATCAATAGAGAAGTATTCTCGGTTTATAAATTCATGATCATTTCCTAAATTAGCCAACGTGGGACTCACTCCCAACAATTCTCAACAATCTTTCCCTCGAACAAAATAGACTATAGAGCCTATCCCAAAGCATATGAAGCCTTCGAACAACCTCTCCTTAATCGAGGCTTGACTCTTTCTCTAGAGCCCTCGAACAAAGTACACTCTTTGTTCGACACTTGAGTCAGTTTTGACTGCACCTTCTCTCAACAATTCTCAACAATCCTTCCCTCGAACAAAGTACACCCCTTTTTCAACACTTGAGTCACTTTTTACTACACTTTCTCCCAACAATTTAATCCTCCCCTTCAACAAAGTACACCATTTGTTCGATATCTCAGTCACTTTTGACAACATCTTCGAGGCTCACAACTTCTTTGTTCGACATTTAAGGATTCTATTGACATGACTAAGTTAAGGGCATGACCCTGATATCATATTAGAAATCACATATTTTCACAATTGTATGATATTGTCCACTTTGAGGAAAAGCACTCATAGATTTGCTTCATGATCTACAAGAATGTTTGACGTATATAACAGATGTCAGTGATGTATTGTGACTTGTGAATGTTTGGTATTTAAATTTTATGAAATTTTAATTATTAACGTAACATATTTTATGTAGATAAGTAAGATTTTTTTGTATATTTTTTGTTTAAAAAAGAACAACTTGAAAATCTAACTCAACTCAATCCATAAGGGTTAGGTTATGAACTCGTTCAAGGTGCTCGAATCATCAATCTAACCAACTCGAAATTTTAGGTTAGTCTTAAAGAATTCTCGGATCCTACCTATATACACTCCTAATCCGTTTCTTGCATAATTATTATTGACAAGCATTGTAAAAATATCCCTTAGCTTTAAACAAATCTTGGGTTTTGCCTTCCATGATTTGCTTTAGCTTGTCTAAACTTAGCCACTTTGCCACTCCCATTAGCTCAATATTTTAAACAAAACTTATGATTCTTGTGAGACAAAGTAGGGCATGTGTTG